CCCTTCGCGCCAGTCAAAGAGTTAAACTGACTCTTCAGCCCCAAAGATGGAGGCATTATGTTCCTCCAAAATGTTGGTAAATATCTACCAACCTACAAGGCTTCACATCCCAGAAAACAGTACCCATCATAGGAAGATTTATCTGTCATCAAGAAAATACTAATGCTTTAATCTCAGTCCAAAGAATATCAGGATAGGTATACTGCCCAATTACATTTCAAACAACAAGTTAAAATACTCTGTGACAATGTGAAATACATTCACATGTATTTAGCATTGCATAACACAATGGATTCATAATAAAGGGCTTGGCTATTAACCCTTTACATGAAATACTGTATTAAGAATCAAGTCATACTCTCGGTTAACATACATAATTGTTACTAGCTGTATGCATTAGCTTACCTGCTAGCTACAGATCTCAGAACTAACTCCTGGCATACAAACCAATCTTGACTGAGGATCTCTGTAGACTTACTCACTCACTCCAGGCAATGCTGGGTTTGTACCCCAATTATGCCATGATAACTTCTTTCCAAATCCCTTCCAATTCATCATCATTCATGTCTCATCCTACTACCAGATGCTACAGTGTTGATACAGTGGAACCTCGCTTAACGAGCAAAACAAGTTGTAAAAAAATGACTTGCATAATGAGTGACGAGAGGGGAAGTCCCAGATTGTGTGTTTGCTACATCAGTCTGTGTTTAGAACTGCTTCCGCTAGCATTTTAGTGTCGCTTGTGATCGCACATTTTTCCAAACTTGTGTTCAGACATATTATTTGTGATTTTTTTTGTGCAAAGTTTAATAACCCTTGTAAAAATGTCCCCGAAGAAAAAGCCGCAAAAAGACAGCCATAAGAAAATAAAAATAACCTTAGAAATGAAATGTAAAATCACTGAAAAGCGAGAACAAGGTGTGAGCATGGCTGATCTAGCACGCACATACAATTGGTCTACATCAACGATTCGCACTAGCCTCAAGAACAAGATTAAGGAAATAGATGCTTCAAAGGGAGTGACAAGAATATCTACACAATGGTTACATATTCTTGTCGATGTTGAAAGGTGGCTCCTCATATGGCTAAACGAAAAGCAATTGCAAGGCGACACTATTAACGAGAACATCATTTGTGAGAAGTGGAAAGTGATTTTCGCCAACCTCATTAAGAAGACGCCAGGATCATCAACGGCCAAAGAAGAAGCATTTAAGGGAAGCCGTAGGTGGTGGCTATGTGCGCTACAAATTTATTTAACCTTTAAGTGCCGAAGTGCCCAGTTTGTGCCAGTCATGAGTAAGGTCGTCGTGGCCAAAGTACCCAGTTGTGGCCAGTCAGGCATTTAAACTCCGCTAGTGGAAGCGCGCGCACACGCCGCTAGTAGAAGCGCATGCACAGTCCTGAATATTTATTTTTAAATGTAGTAATTACCAGACCGACTTAAGTAAAACCCTAATAGAGGAATTAAAATAATACCTTACTGAACAACAGCAAATAAAAATATACGTATGAGTTATGCCAAAACTTATCCACAATCCAGTAATTTTGTTGCAGATTCTGCAGATAGGTATGTTAAAAATATAGTGTAAAATTCGATGTACATACCTTTTTTGTTGTTACCTTCTTGATGTATATATAGGTTCAAATGAAACTACAGTATTCGATTTCACTACGAACGCACACAAAA